TGCAATATTCCTCGAGCTCCATAAGGATTTGATWAGCAGTCTATCCACCTTGGAAACCTTGGTCTCTTGGAGAATAGCCATGGTAGGATGATGCGGTTGGATGATGCTCTTCACATGGGCTCTTTTCTCCTTTGAGCCAATACCACGAACATTCCAAGAGAGGATATTCATAAAGAAATAGATGGCCCACCGATGGAGAAGGAAGAAGAGGGGCCATCATAGTTGACAGACGAATAAAGCCCAGCAAGTTCTCTGACATATTTGGCTTGTTTTTTCTGGTCTTGTGATTTTTTAGGGGTCTTCGTAGGTAGAGGTAGAATGCCAAGACCCACTGAAGTTAACCAAGGGACCACGACTTGGAGATATGCCGAGGGGTGAGTGGTGGGATCAATGAAGGAGGGGAAGGGGCGGATAGGTAGAATGGATTCGTCAATAAGTTGCAGAGGATCCGAATCAAGCGAAGGTTGAGGTTCGGGGGGGAAAAGAGTGGATGAGAGGGTTAAGGGTGGAGATGGAGGAGGGAGAGTGGCGSATGTAGAGGGGTAGGGACTGGAAATGTAATTTTCAGAATCTGTGCATTGGAACATGGTGTCTAAGCTTTTGGAAGATGGCGGTTTGGGGATTGGGGGCCTTTCTAAGAAGAATAATGCTCTTCTGGTCCAATGGGGGTGGCGTTTTGGCTTTGAACCTAATGCCTTGTGGCATAAGGTGATAGTAAGCTTGTATGGCAAATCTGATTTGGGTTGGTCCTCGGGTGAAATGCGGAATTGATGTCTTAGAAGACCTTGGATCAATATTTCTCGTCAATGGAAGCAATGTAATCAGTTTTCGGTTTTCAAGCTTGGATCAGGGGACAGTATTCTGTTTTGGGCTCATAAATGGATCGGTGATTGGCCTCTCAAGGATAGATTTTAAAAAATCTATCGGCTTTCCCTTTATCCTTCTGGATCAGTGGCTGAATTCTCGGATGCACAGACTCTATCTTGGAAAATCCACACTCGACGGTCATTAAAAGATGATGAGATGAGGAGTTCAGCGCTTTGTTATCTGTATCGCATTCTAAATCCCCTACCTGCGAGCTGGATAGTAGGCAGTGGTTGTTGGATATCTCGGGTTCTTATACAGTGGCATCAATCTACAAGATGACCAGCAGTGCTCCATTGCCAAATTCCTTATTTAAAGCTATTTGGAAAACTAAATGTCCAAAGAAGGTTAGCTTCTTTACTTGGATTCTCATCCATGGGAAAGTAAATGCAGATGACGTTCTACAAAGGAAGCTTCCTAGCTTCAAGTTGATGCCCTCGGTTTGTGCCCTCGGCCAATCTAATGAAGGAGTATGATGCACCTTTTCTTCTTCTGTTCCTTTGCAAGGCAGTGTTGGATTTCTTTGTTTGAGGAATTTAATTTGGCTTGGGTTTTTGGAAATAAGACGGCAGATAACTTGATCCAACCCCTCTTGGGGCCCGTTATGAATCCTAAAGCTTCTCTTTTATGGCTTAATGCAGTAAAAGTAGTGGTGTATGAGGTGTGGCATGAAAGAAATCTTAGAATCTCTGAAGAGAAGAGACAGTCTCCTCCAGCTCGTTTCGACATTGCTAGATTCAAAGCCTCTCAATGGAGCTCCTGATCCCCTCTTTTTAAATTTTATTCTCCTAGTCTGATTTATTCTAATTGGGGAGTCTTTGTGGCATCTTATTAGAATTTTAATTTGACGTTTTAATTATATCTTCATTCTTTCGAGAATTTGTATCTTTGAACAACTTTGTTCCTTTTCATTATTTCAATGAGAAGTTCGTATCTGTGAGGTATCTCCTCACAACGTTTTGGAATTCAAGAAAACAGAGCCCGAAGGCAATTACAGGCAACACCCCACCAATTCGAGAGGGTGGGTAGCTCTCCTTCACTCTACTCACACTACAAACTTCGATGATGCTCCCCTCCTTTGCAAAAGGCTATTTCTACTCCCGACTAGCGCCTCAATTATTCTCCTTCCCTAATACAATTCCCATCCTACCCCTCCTAGAATATGTTTTAGTTATCGGGGGTCTAACAACATCCCCCCCATTCAGAACCACCTTGTCCCCAAGGTGGAAATCAGGAAAACGAAGTGCCATATCTGAAAAGGATTCCCACGTAGCATCTTCTGGTGGCAGGCCTTTCCAGGTGATGAGAGCTTCTTCTTCGCCTGTGGTATCGTTAATCCCTGTTGCAAAGACCTCATCCGGAACAGCAATCCACTCTAGGTCTTCAGTCAAGTAGGGGGGAATAGGCTGCACCTCCACCTGCAGGCCTTCAGCCGGTTTCAACTGTGAAACATGAACTACTGGATGTATAGTGGCGGTATCGGGGAGGTTTAAGTGGTAGGCCACCTTGCCTATGCGTTGAATGATCTCAAAGGGCCCAAAGAATTTAGCTACCAATTTCTCATTCCTCTTTTTAGCTAGAGATTTCTTACGATAGGGGTGGATTTTCAGAAATACTTGCTCCCCGACCGAAAATTCCCACTCTGTTCGTTTAGCATCGGCATACTTTTTCATTCTCCCCTGTGCTCGAGCCAAATTCTCCTTGAGAAGGGCCAATGCTTGGTCTCTGTCTATCAGCTGGCGGTCAAGGGTCATTTGGTGTTCTAGACATCCCATAGCTAAGCAATGGGGGCGGTGCTCGCCCATAGACCACTTGGAAAGGAGTGGTTCCGAGTGAAGCATGAAAGGTGGTATTGTACCAATACTCTGCCCACGATAACCAATGGCTCCAAGTATGTGGTGACTCACTATAGAAGCAGCAAGTAGGTTTCTAAGCATTTATTGACGATCTCTGACTGCCCATCCGTTTGAGGATGGTACGCTGTGCTGCGCTTAAGCTTAGTTCCTTGGATCCGGAACATTTCTGTCCAAAAATTACTAGGGAAAATCTTATCCCTATCAGAGATGATGGATTGGGGAAATCCATGGAGCCGGACGACTTCTTTAATAAAGGCTGCAGCAACTGTCTTGGTAGTGAAGGGATGACTTTAGTGTATGAAATGAGCATATTTGCTCGAGCGATCTGCAACCACAAATATGGAATCATTACCAAGGGACTTGGGGAGTCCTTCGACGAAGTCCATGGTAATGTCTTCCCAAATTCGCTCATGAATGGGTAGTGGCTGCAATAACCCTGCTGGGGAAATAGCCATCGTCTTGTTCCTTTGGCATACATAGCATTCCTTTACATATTTCTTAGTGTCTGATTTCATACATAGCATTCCTTTGTCAGGGTGTGCTCTTTCCGATCCCTTCTTTAATTATTCTCCTAGCATTATTGTACGAATTGGGAGGCTCTGATAACTCCCCTAGTTTTTAGTCTTTCTTCTTTTGCTTATTATGTTGTCCTTTTCATCTTTCTTTTCGCTCTTTTTGGAATTTGTATCTTTGAACATTAACCTTGATGTTTATAAACTTCGATACTACTGCACATAATAATAAAATAATTATTTTATTCACAAATGGGAAAACATTTACATACCTACAAGACATTAGGGCATAAATCCTAATACTTTTATAGTGTAAAGTTTCTACTTTTATAGTGTAAAGTTTCTTCACCTTCCTCAAATATAGTACTAATGCTCTTTTGGCCAATTGGAAGAACTTTTTGCAATCTCATTTGGCTCAGGGCTCGACTTTTTTCCTCTCTTTTTTATTTGAAGTCGTTGTGAAATTATTTCTTACTTAAAAGAAAAACGAAAAAAAATTACTAAATATTTTAAGTGGGATATTTTCAGGTTTACAGGAGGATAGGAGAATGACTCTTGTCCTTTGGTTTATTCTCGTATAAGTTTTTTTTCTTTCTTTCTTTCTTATCTGGAGGACTATTAAAAGCAATATGGAAAGGGAAACAACCTAAGAAGGGCAAGGTCTTTTTTATTTTTTATGTATAACTTTAAAAAGGATACAAACTTTTCATTGATGAAATGAAATATTACACCAGAGTAGCAGCATACAATGAACCAAAAAAAAAAAGACTAGTACACATGCTGGATTATAAGATTCTGATCCTAAACACGCTTGAACAACTAGCCTACAAACTAAAAAACTATGCCCTAGCCTCTGGGTCTTGTGCTGGAAAGAAGACACCTTGACCTCCTTTTTTTCCGCTGCCCTAGGGACATACAAGCTTACGCTTAAAGCGGACATTTTATAGAGTAAACAGTTTAATATCTAGGGGAGATGTTATTGGTTACTAAGAAAAAGAAAAAAGTTTGAGTGTAAGCATGGGCCCTAGCTTTTGTTAGATGGATATGATTCTCATGGAGTATCTGGCAGATTTACTTATGGGAGCTTAGCCGCGCAAGACTAAACACTTGTGAGAGGATTAAAAAATGACTCCATTGGTGTGTTTTATTCCTGGGCTGGTGTCATTTTTGCAAAAAAGGCACGTGATCCCAAAATTACATCTTCCTTGATTTTACTTATGCTAGAAATTTCTGGACTTTTATTATCTCCTTCCATGGCCAAGTGGCCGTCCCCCTTGATATCAAGATCTCAGGAATACATTTATGGTGTGTCACTCATTTGAGAAAGAAGGAAAGATTCTTTGGCTCCAATTTTCTAGAGCTTTCTTCTAGTCCACATGGCTAGAGAGGAATAATAGGATCTTCTTCAACAATAAAGAAAAGTCCCTCCATCGTTTATTAGACTCCCTTGTTTTTATGACCTTGGTATTAATTGTTTCTCTTTTCAGCAATTATAGTATTGGCTCTCTAATGCCGAAGCGAGCATGGCTCAACGGTAATTGACATATATCTCTAACCAAGAGGTTGTGAGTTCGATCCCCCCACCCCCATTTGAACTCAAAAAAGGTATTGGCTCTAATGAAGTTGGGGAAGAGTTTTTTGAAGTCTCCTTTGGCGTGGACTGCCGTGGAGCTTGACTTTCCTCCTCTCGTTTGTAATATGATATCATTAGAGTATTTCCTTTTAGAAAAAAAGAATTCTTGAGAAACATTTTTTACACATTAAACAGGTGCAGTGGTGTTATGGGAAAATATGCTGCGGGAGAACTCAGGCCACCCATAGCAGGTTCGTGAACATTTTCTTTAAATGTCAAACTGTGAAGTGGCACGTCACTTGATGTAACTGATTTGAAACTTATCTATGTTATAAAAATAACTAAATGTTTTTAAAATTGTACAGTGAACAAGCTGAACTTAATTATGCTAAAATTACATGAAGTAAAGTAAAGTACAGAATCATGTTATTGCATGAAAATATAATAAAATCCATAACAAATTTGGGTAGCTAAGGCTTGTGTGTCTTGCAGTGACTTTTTAAGCATACCAGTCCATAGTAAATTTTGCAGTGATGCACATAAAAGTCTCCATTTTACTTTACTATATAAAAAAATAAAGTTTAGTGATTTTAGTTAAATGTTAAAATTAAAATTAGTATACAATTTAATTTTATATTAATTTTTCAAAGTAAATTTTGTATTAATTTTTTAATGTAATTAAATAGATACTAATTAATGAAATCATCTTTTTTGATTTTTTATAATATTATTTTTTTCTAAAACAAGAACAAACTTTTCATTGATAAATAAAAGGAATAAAAATTGTCCAAGATATAAACTCTCATTGGGAGTGAGAAAATAAAAGGAAACAACAAGATAAAACATCATAGAGTGTAGAATTAAAAGCCCCTCAATTCGTACAAATGTCTTGCAAATAAAGGAGAAAGAAAACATCATCATGGGCACCGGAGTTGCGGTCAAAGGAAAGGGAACCTGTTGCGGAGTGGTCATAGAGCTGCTAGACATCATAGTGGCAGAGGACTTTCTGCCCATTGAATGACCTCGATGCCATTCTAGGGATGCAATGGTTGCAATCCCGGGGCAAAATGGAGGTTGATTGGCCTGCCTTGTCAGTGACCTTCATACGAGGGGAAAAATGGATAACATTGAAAGGGTATCCCACCCGGCCACCCTCACTTGATTAGAAGTCTCCCTCAACCGGCTGGCTCGCCAATGGCAGAATGCTGATTAGGGATATTTTGTGGAATTATGAGCTTTAACCGCCGAGGCAGAAGTGGAAGAACCTGAAGGGCTAGCCTTATCCACTGATATACCACAGGTAGTACAGGACTTGGTGGAGAATATGCAGATATCTTCCAAGAAACCAAGCACCTGCGTCCATCTCGAGCAGTGGACCATTGGATACAAATCGAGGAAGGGGAGCCACCCATCAATGTGAGGCCCTACTGCTATGCACACGCAAAGAAAGCTCAAATCGAGAGAATGATTGGTGAGATGATTGAGACGGGGATTATTAGACCAAGCATCAGCCCCTACTCTAGCCCTGTAATCCTAGTTTAAAAAAGGATGGCAGTTGGAGGTTTTGTGTTGACTATCGAGCCCTGAAACATGCTACAATTCCAGACAAGTTCCCAGTATCTGTGATCGAAGAGCTGTTGAACGAGTTACATGGGTCGCACATCTATTCCAAAATTAACCTCAAATCCAGTTATCATCAAATCCAGATCGCGTCAGAAGACGTGCATAAGAATGCGTTCAGGACACATGAAGGCCATTACGAGTTCCTCATGATGCCTTTTGGCTTAACTAACGCACCGTCGACCTTCCAATTATTGATGAATCAGGTTTTCAGACCATTCCTCCGTAAGTTCATCTTGGTTTTTTTCAACGACATTTTGATTTATTGTCCTGATATGCACACCCATGTGAATTATCTGACTATGGTGTTTAATTTATTGAGGGATAATCATCTTTGTGCTAACCTGAAAAAATGCCACTTTGCACAAGTATAGGTTGAATATTTGGGACACTGAATATCTGCACAAGGGGTGGGGGCTGATGAGGAAAAGATCTGAGCCATGCTACAATGGCTGCAACCTACCAACCTCAAGGAGTTGAGGGGATTCCTAGGGCTGACAGGGTATTATTGAAAATTTGTAGCCCACTACGTGACCCTACTAGTCCTAGCAGTACCAGATTTTAGCCTTCCATTCATCATTGAGACTGATGCATCAGGGATGGGATTGTGGGCAGTCCTCACCCAAGAACAACGGCCAATCGCTTACTGTAGCCATACCTTGTCACGACAGGGGCAGTCAAAGTCGGTTTATGAGAGGGAGCTCATGGCAGCGGTGTTGGCAATACAGCGATGGAGGCCATACTTATTGGGACAAAAGCTCATCGTGCGAATGGATCAGCAAGCTCTCAAATACCTCCTCGAATAGTGGATAGTACAACCAGAATACTAGAAATGGATCTCAAAGCTCCTAGGATATGACTTTGAAATCCGGTATCGACTGGGGCTAAAGAATAAGATTGTAGATGCCCTCTCGCAGATGCCTCCCACACCTCACTTAGCAGCATTAATAGCACCAACCATTCTGGATGTTGACTTGATAATGGAAGAGGTAAAAGCTGACCGACATTTCTCCAAGATCTTATCTAAGCTAGAGGCTAATATGGAGAAGTTTCACCTCCAGCAAGGAGTGCTTAAATATAAGAACCGCCTAGTAATTTCCAAAACAACTTCACTCGTGCCCGCTATACTACATCTATATCATAACTCAGTCATGGACAAGGTTTTAAATATCAATGTCGATGGAAATGTCAAAGTCTCAATTTTATGAAAATGTCGATGGAAATATTGATAAAATGTCAATGTCGATGGATATTTTTGAAAAAGTTATAAAAAAATAAAAAACTCGAAAAAAAATTTAAATTAACAAATAATCGTTTCAAGATTTCTAAATAATTTAAAAATGATTAATATTAATATTATGTCTATATTAGTGAAATTTTGTTTATATTTTTCATATTTTGTTAAATTTTTTTGTAATATTATGGAAATATTGATTTACTCCTCATGTCGATGTCGAACCTATAGATATATGGATATGTCGATGGACATGTTGACATGTCGACGGATATTTAATACCATGGTCATGGGAGGCATTATGGGTTCCTTAGAACTTACAAACGACTTACAGGGGAGTTGTGTTGGACCTTGGTTGGGGATGAAAGCCAACGCCCAGCACCACTATGTGGAATAATGTTGCATTTGTCAAAGGAACAAGGTCATGGCAGCTTCACCCGCAGGACTCCTAAAGGCCCTACGTATACCAGATAGGATTTGGGAGGATATCATTATGGACTTTGTGGAAGGCCTTCCAAAATCCATGGGACATGATACAATCTTTGTTGTGGTGGATCGGTTGAGTAAGCATGCTCACTTCCTACCTATTTGTCATCCCTTTACAGCCAAAATCTTAGCCACTGCCTTTGTCAGGGAGATAATTCGTCTCCATGGGTTTCCACAATCCATAATCTCATATAGGGACAAGGTCTTCCTAAGCAACTTTTGGACATAATTATTTAGGCTACAAGGGACCAAATTGAGGAGTACGACCTACCATGCTCAAATAAACAAACAGACGGAAATAGTCAACAAGTGCCTCGAGAATTACCTATGTTGCTTCTACAGTGAGAATCCAAAGCCGTGGGGACAAGGGCTGCCTGGGGCCAAGTATTGGTATAATGCAACGTTCCACAACTCCTTGGGTGCAACCCCTTTTCAAGCTATCTATGGCCGTACACCTCTCCACTGCTACTATATGGAAGTCAGATGACTTCTAATGCAACCTTAGACCAACAGTTGGCAGCCAGGGATCAAGCACTTGAGATACTGAAAGAACATTTGCATCAGGCCCAAAATAGAAAAAATATGCAGATGTCCACTGAAGGGAGAAAGAATTTGAGGTGGGAGACAAAGTGTTCTTGAAGATAAGGCCTTATCTTCAAAGGTCAGTGGCCAAAAGACGAAATGACGAAATGAGAAATTCACAGCGAAGTACTTCGGGCCTTATGAGATAGTGTAGCGAATTGGGAAGGTAGCTTATCGCTTGGACCTACCTAAAGGGACAGTTATTCACTAGGTCTACCATGTATCCCAACTCAAGGAAGCCAAAGTGACTAATCAAGTCTCTCAACTGACCTTCCCACAGCTAACCGAAGACCTCTGTTAAGGATGAATAAACCACCACTTAACCCAAAAGCTAAAGCTGATGGGTTGGGTAAATTTAATTTATTTATGGATATCTGACACCACGAGTGGGCTTGGAAAATTACACAAGGCCCAATAAGCGGAAATCAATAATAAATAGGGAGGAAATGACGATACAGGTGTTCGAGCACGGAGCTAGAACATCCTGCTCTGATACCATGTTAAATATGATTAAATCACCACTCAACCAAAAAGCTTAAGCTGATGGGTTGGATAAATTTAATTTATTTATGTATCTAACAATCTCGAATGGATGCCAGAACTTGAGGACATCTATGTGACAAAAACCAACAATGACACCGACGACCTTGAAGTATTACTCAGTTGATTGGGGTTACCCGCAGAAGAAGCAACATGAGAATCCGTACGTGACATGTGCGAGCAATTTCTAGACTTCCACCTTGAGGACAAGGCGAGGTGTTGTTGATAGAGGGGGAAGATGTTAGACCCCCCATACCACCTGTACTTAGGACATTCTAGAAGGGGTAGAATGGGTAATGTGTAGGGAGGAGAATAATCGGCCTAGAGAGAGTGTGTGGGCCAGGAGAGAGAAAAGAAGGTTGAGTGAGGTAGAAGAGGATCTTCCAGGGTAGTGGGAGAGTAGCTTTTGTTTTTATGCCTTGTGCTTGAGGTAGGAGGAGGGATTACCCACCCTCTCGAATTGGTGGGGTGTTGTACGGCCCTTGAGGTTTTTTCATTTTCGAAGAATACAAATCTGTGAAAGGATACCTCACAAAAGATTGATCCGATAGAAATACCCTTTCTATTATTCTTTATCAGAGGAAATTAGAGGGAGCCGAGAATTAGAGAGCTCCCGAACCTCTCCAAACGAGCCTAGACGAAATAGCCAAAAGATGTCCCTCGACCTCACTACCAGGGTGTAAAAATACCCTTACTACAAAATACTACCCTCTGTCCTTCTACTTCCCATACGGTGGTCCCCACCCCCTAGTGGTTTTGCCTCACTTCACTGCCTTACCAGTATGGACCCTTTTTTTAGAATAGACATTCTTAATCTTAGGCCTACCATGATCTTGCAAAACTAAGTGTTTTTCTTAAAAAATCATTTGATTTTGTTCAAACAAAATCTTCGAAATGGAAGACAGCATTGATTCATAATCAATTTAGATTAAGGATGCAAAAAGGACCATAAAGCAGCTGAATAATGTTGTCTTAGAGTGGAAGAACAAATGAATAATGATGCCAAAAAGAAGTGTGTTTATCGTTACCAATCTTGAATGAGGAGAAATGTTTCACCAGCTTCCATTGCTTGGTAATATTATTCCAAGGATGGCAAAGGCAACCACTCCGTCTTTCCAATGCATTCCTACCAAAAAGATTAGTGTAAAACTTCTCAAATGAAAGGATGAAATTCCCTTTCAATTGCTGCCAAAATTTCAACAAAAATTCTATTGTGAACCCATCTGGACCCAGTGCCTTGTTCTTGCCAAGACCTTTTAACGCTTGCTATATTTCAGTTTCCTCAAAATTTTCTTTCCAGCCATGATCTATCCAGGCTTTGGGATAGGTCTCCAGTTAATACCTCTGGGAGAAAACCACTGAATTCCTTCACTACAGTACAGGCGTTTAAAGAAACCAATAATTTCAACTTCGATCTCTTTTTGGTTAACAAGAGATCTGTCCTGTTCATCCTTTAACTCAGAAATTTGTGCCTTTCTTTTACGAGCTACAAGGTATTTGTGGAAAAGAAATTAGTATTTTCGTCACCTTTTTTTAGCCAATGAACTCTTGCACTTTTTGACTAAAATTCCTTTCTTCCAGAATGTACAAGCTTAGCGGATTATTTTGAAGAGAACACCTCTTCTCTATTTCTGCTAAAGAAATACCAGAAATTTCATCCTTTGGATATATGGATGGGATATATGCTATGATTTGTGCTTCTTTCTCATTTTCTTCAATTAATTTTGCATATGTCACTTCTTGAGAGAAGATTTTGGGTTTCAAGTTTAGAAGACAACAAAAAACTTGCCCGTCTGTAAGATGTATCCTCCACAAGCTTGGATTCAGTTAAACTGATGCACTCTTTTGTTTTTTAACCATGAACTGAAGTAAGGAAAAGAACTAGGTCCCTATTTAAAATCTCTCAACATTCTACGATGCTCTCTCAAAGATACCAGAATAATCACTACCTCAATAATGACTACCTGGCTCTCTAGGGAACCACAATAATGGTTGCCTGAACTCTATGCCGTATATCTCTCTCACGCGTCAAAAAAGAATTGTTATTGTGCTGTTCTCTCTCTCACTTCTGTTTGGTGGCTCACATCTAAAGAAAGGGAAAAGCCTTATTTAAATAGGAAATCCCTAGGGCTTTGTTGGATTTGCTAACTAACACCATTGCACTTCAAAATCAGAAGTGTTTCAAGTCGTAGCACCATGACGCTCTAGGATAGTGCCACGGCACTAATGGCAGTTCCTAGGCAACCAAGTATAGCACCTAAGCGTTGTCTTCTCAGCTTCTTGTGTGTTGCACTGCTTCTTTGCTCCCTTTCTCCATTTCCTTCAATCTGGGCTTCAAAATGTGCGTTCCAACAAGTCTTCTTTATGGTTTGGGCTCCACAACCCAACAGAAAGCCTAGATTTCATTAAAAGTTGAGCAGTATCTTGGTGAGTTTTTTCCAAAAATTTATGTAATTATTATTTTTTGAAGTGTATGCTCCTTGAGATTCATTTTATGTAATCACATTTAAGTTGTGTCAGGTTTTAGGAGTAATTAGGTGATGGATGGGTCTGTTGTTTGGGTAGTTATGTTACAGCAACACTTTGATATTGTAATTTCTTTGCAATTTTTCACCCATCAATGAAAAGTAAAAAAAAATAGTGGTGTGTTCATTTTGTCTTTTTGAAGATGTCTATTAATTTCATCCTTAGATAAAGGATATTACTGAGCAGGCTTTTCTTGTTTATAGCTTCGTCTCGTGGATCTGGAAAACACCCTCAACTTATGCCATCAACTCCAAGGTGGGCCGTTGCAAATGGAGCTGGAGTAATATTGAGTGTTTGTGATGAAGAAGTTGCTCGGTATGAGACTGCAACTCTAACAGCAGCTGCTGTTCCTGCACTCCTTCTTCCTCCCCCGACAACCGCTTTGGACGAACATTTAGTTGCTGGGCTACCAGCTCTTGAGCCATATGCACGCTTGTTTCATAGGTTAGTTCTATCTAAACTTTCAAAGAAAAAAAAAATTGTCAAATCCTTATTTATGCTGGTGCTGCAAAACAATTTATTCTTCCTAGCGCAGATATTATGCCATTGCAACTCCTAGTGCCACCCAAAGACTTCTTCTTGGACTCTTAGAAGCACCACCCTCTTGGGCTCCGGATGCACTTGATGCAGCTGTACAGCTTGTGGAACTCCTTCGGGCTGCTGAAGAGTATGCAACTGGCATAAGGGTAAGCGGGATACTATGCAGTGCAGTATAGAATATTATGGGTTAAGCCATTCATGAATCTTCTCTAAATTTCTGGTCCTGTGCAAACTTTTCTGCATATAAATTGTTTGACCATATATTCCTAATACTATTTCATGACAACAGTTTCTTAGTTATTTTGTTGCATTGTATCTGGACAAGTGTGATGAAAAGTACTTTTATATTTTTAAAAAATCACTTGAATATTGAGTCAATTTTAAGAGGAATAGTGTTGTGTCTTATTTCCAGAAGGCAAAATTAGGTCATCCTAGGTAAAGAAGAGACAACAAAATAAGGAAAATATACAAATAATTTAATAATTTTTTTAACAAGAAACAAACTTATCGCTGATATAGTAAAATGAAGAAAATATTCAAGGAAATAACTCAAAAGGGAGCGAAAAAAGAAAAGAGAAAAACAGCCAAAAGAATAACAAAAATCCAATTCCAAATGATACAAGAGAATATAACATTGATGAATAAAACATCTAAAATCTAGACAAAAAAAAAGACTGGGCCGAATAATTTTTCTTTTGATAAGAAAATTTCATTGATGTGTGAAATTACAAAAAGAGGGAAAAGAGAGCCCCAAATACCAAAGGAGTTACATGAAACTTCTCCATGGTCAAAATGTATTCATGCTATATTAGCAAAAAAGTGAAGATGTTTACACCAAGACATGCTGAATAAATTTTAATCACTCATTTCTAGCTAGGGCAAGATCCAAGCTAAGAATGCCAGAGCTCCAAAATTTCAGCAAAAATCTCTAACTCATCTTCAAGAATATTTAACGTCAGGCTCATCTTCAGGAATCATGGCTCTGTATTTCTTTAAAATTTTGTTGTATGCTTCAGCAAACTCCTCAAATTTAGCTTGCAACTCCAGTTTTCTTCTAGAATGAGCTTCTAAACAAATAGGCATTTCTTTGTTAATCTTTTCCAGCGCCATATCTAGATGGGCTATCCTTGTTCTAATACCATGTTGAAATTAATAGGAATAAAATATTCTAAATATATTCAATTATTTAGAGAAAATATCCATTAAAAATAAGGAAAAAAGAATAGAGACAATTAAGTAATATTGACAACTAATATTTACTAACAAATATTTAAAGTTATTAGAAAGTTGAACAGATACCATGTACAATTTCTTGAATATCTTAATATTTACAACTAATGATTACGTTGTGCTAAATAGAAAGAAAGTCTAGAAATGTAAACTAATCTAATCAATCCCTAGAATAAAAGTTTAAATTGAAATACATAATAAACCTAAATTTCTTAATTTACTATTTACAAAAATGCCCTCTGACACTCATTTTTACCAAGATTAATTAAATAACTTAAGGTACGTTTGGTTGGTAATTAGAAAATAGAAATTTGAAAACAAGGGATTTAATAAAAACCAGAGTTGTATTATTTGTTTTCAGTGTTTTTAGATACATGTTTGGTAGCAGATTTGGTAATTGAATCCCAATTTAAAAAATTGTTCAATGTGTGTTTAGTAATATATTTGTAAACTAGAAGTAGTTAGAAACTAAATATTTAGTTTAATTTAAAGTTATATTAATTAATTTATTAACATTTTTTATGAATTTTGTATAATTATTATTTTACAACGTTATATAATTTATAATACATTATATTTTACATGTTTTAATTTTAACAAACGTAAAATGAGTTTATAATATGAAGTAATATATTTATCAAAGTTTTTGTCATTTTTAATGTAATTCTACATCTTAAAAATTTCAAATTCTGAATCTGAAAACATAAAAAAGTCGTTTTCAAAATTTCTACTGTTTGGATCCCAGAATCCGAAAATAGTTTTAAAAAACGAATCTCCCAAATCCTGCCAAACATATTTGATTCAGTGAATCTGAAAACAAAAAAACAGAATCCGAGTTTCCAACCAAACAAACTTTACTTTTCCATACCTCACCTAGCTGTATCAGTGACCGGAGACAAGTATGTCTCTGTTGTAATGTTGTTTATTCGGGGTCATCATCTACCAACTATAAATCTGTTCTCTCTCTGAACTGGAAAAGTCGGTCAAACTGAACCATGGGACAGTTCCTAGGAAAGAATCAATTACTATTTTGTTCGTTCATGCAGCTTCCTAGGAACTGGATGCATTTACATTTTTTGCGTGCCATTGGTACTGCAATGTCCATGAGAGCTGGCATTGCTGCTGACGCTGCAGCAGCCTTGCTTTTTCGAATACTATCACAGCCTGCATTGCTTTTTCCACCACTACGACAAATTGAGGGAATGGATGTTCAATGTGAAACTTTGGATGGTTATGATTCATTTTACAGGGAACAGGTATGGACCTCTTAGGCATGCCACATAATTTATTTCTAGGTTATGCTCCTATCTTTTGAAAGGAGCTAATTTATAGGGTTCCTTGAATGTAGTCTTGTTTTCAACTCTAACAACTCCAAATACCATCTCTATATTTATTTGTAACAGATTGAAGTGCCTGCAGCGGAAGCTACAATTGAAGCTACTGCACAAGGAATTGCATCCATGCTTTGTGCACATGGTCCTGAAGTTGAATGGAGAATTTGTACAATCTGGGAAGCTGCTTATGGCTTGATTCCATTAAGTTCTGATGTCGTTGATCTTCCTGAAATCATAGTAGCAACACCATTGCAACCTCCCATACTATCATGGAATTTATACATTCCTCTCCTTAAGGTTCTTGAATATCTTCCACGCGGAAGCCCATCTGAAGCATGTCTGATGAAGATATTTGTTGCTACTGTGGAATCAATTCTTCAAAGAACATTCCCATCTGATTCTCCCAGGGAACAAACTAGAAAGACAAGATATTTTTCTAGCCTTGGGTCTGCTTCTAAAAATCTCGCAGTCACAGAACTTCGGACCATGGTCCATTCACTATTCTTAGAATCATGTGCTTCTGTGGAGCTTTCTTCACGCCTACTTTTTGTTGTATTAACTGTTTGCGTGAGTCATGAAGCTCAGTCAAACGGAAGCAAGAAATTGAGACGTGAACAAAGCTATCTTCCTGATGAAAGAATTGAGGACTTGCAAGCCATACCAGAGAACCATAAAGGAATAAGAAGTAGAAAGACCAAAAAGCAAGGTCCTGTTTCTGCATTTGATTCTTATGTCCTGGCTGCTGTTTGTGCTCTTGCCTTGGAGCTCCAATTATTTCCCTTTGTTACTCGGGGAAGTGATCATTTAAGCTCTACGGATTCACAGGATGTATTAAAACTGGTCAAACTAAATGGTACTTCCACCAAGCTTAAAAATAGTGTTGACTCAGCCATACGCCACACTCATAGAATTTTGGCCATCCTAGAAGCACTTTTTTCTCTGAAACCATCTTCTGTGGGAACTTCATGGAGTTACAGTTCAAATGAGATAGTTGCTGCAGCAATGGTTGCAGCTCATGTTTCGGAACTCTTTAGACGATCAAAGGCTTGCATGCATGCTCTCTCTATCCTGATGCGATGCAAGTGGGACAATGAAATTTACACCAGGGCATCATCATTGTACAACCTAATAGATATTCACAGCAAAGCTGTTGCTTCCATCGTTAACAAGGCTGAACCTTTAGAAGCACATTTAATACATGTACCAAAATGGAAGGAATCTCTCATGGGTTTTAATGGAAAAAAACAAATTCAATATGATGACATTACCTGCTCTCATTCTGGACAATCATCTGTCCAAAAGGGTGATAATTCAGCCCATTCAGAAACTAAAATTGTGTTTAATAGAACATCGGATTCAAATGAAGAGTTGGGAAATACCTCAGGGAAAGGTCTGGCAAGCTTCTCAATAGATGCTTCTGATCTAGCCAACTTACTCACAATGGACAGGCATATAGGATTCAACTGCTGCGCACAAGTTCTCTTGAGATCAGTGCTGGCTGAGAAACAAGAGTTATGTTTTTCTGTTATTTCTCTACTGTGGCACAAGTTGATTACAGCTCCTGAAACTCAACCTAGCGTGGAGAGCACTTCAGCCCAGCAAGGATGGAGACAGGTAAGCTTGTATAACGTTTTTCTATTTTGGTTTTATCTAATATTATATTCTCCCTTTTCTTTTCCTGTTAACACCGTACGAAACGTGTTTTTCTCTTGCCTATGATCTTCCTTTTGCTGCTGAATTTTAGTTCTAGGACAGTTTGCTTGATAATAAAATAAGCTTTGTATGGATTTTATCCTATTTTTAGAGGAACTAATTATCAGTTTAATAGTTAAACTTTCTGCTGTGCGAGCTTTACTTTGTTCATGTGCTAGACATTGTATTCAATTTCAAAAGAACTAAAGAAAATTTTGAAAAAGAAATAGAAAATGGAGTCAAATATCACTAATATTCTATTTCTTTATTCCATCGATATGGTATATCAGCGATAGGCTTGGCGAATGAGTATGCAAACAATCACTAATAGAAAACGAGTCAAATATTACTGATATGCCATTTTTTATTCTATTGATACGGTATATAAATGATAGATTTTATAGCAAATGATCATGCTAATAAACACGGATAGAAAATGAAAGTTAAATAATACCGTTGATGTAACATTTTTATTTTATTGATGAGGTATATCCATAGTAGACCTAATAGCAAATGACCACGCAAACAATCACTTATAAACATGTGAAAGTTAAATACCACTAGTATACTAATTTTATTCTATTGATAGTGTACATCAATGGTAGGCCTAATAGCAGACGGGCATGCAAACGATCACCAATAGAAAACGTAGTCAGGTATCGATAATAGACGTCAATTAGAGATATGCTGATGAGGCTTTTTAAACTTTTGTGTGTTTTTATTCGGGTTGGGTTTTAATTTGTGTCATATATTTTTAGCTTGGGCTAGATTTGCTATTATTTTGGACATTGTGTACAAGTTAAACTGAAAAAATTGAAGTTGGTGGAATCAACATTGTATTCATAATGATATCACAATTGCTCTGAACTCTTTACAGTGCTTAGTTCAACAACTTGCGTATTTAACTGAATTCTTCCTAGTGCATCGTTAAGTTTAATATGACACTTGACTTGGATACATTTAGCCGTTCAATGTTAATTCAAACATAGTACTTTTTTTTATACTGAACTTCGAGACACAAGTACTGTAGCATCTGATCCTCTCTTTCATCTCTGTTTGTGTTTCCACTGGATTTTTCCATGTGCCTCGTTCTTCGTGATTTACTGATTTATGCATAAGAGTGATACATTACTTTGATCTTAACGTATTGCACTGTTTATCTTAAGTAGGTAGTTGATGCATTGTGCAACGTCGTATCAGCTTCCCCAGCTAAAGCAGCTACAGCAATTGTTCTTCAGGTCCAAATTTCTTCACTTCTATGGTGATTCTTTATTGTTATGTTCTACTCTCTGGAATAGCTGGCTGACTTGGATGATTAAGGCTCCCTTTGACAACGATTTTGTTTTCAGTTTTCTATTTTCCATTTTTTAAAATTACGCTTGCTTTCTCATATTTTATTTGGTACATTTTTAACCTTTCTTTAAAACGTATTTGAATTCTTTACGAAATTTCATAAACAAAAACAAGTTTCACAGAACTACAATCTTGTTTGATAACCATTTTGTATTTAGTTCTCTGTTTTTAATAGTTTAGTTTAAAAACACTTCTTCAACCTATGTGTTTCTTTGTCTTGCTATTACTTTTGAAAATATTTTCAAATATCTAAGCCAAAACATAAAGAAAAGATTTTAGAAACTTATTTTTATTTTTAAAATTCGACTAAGAATTCAAATGTATTTTTAAGAAAGGTTAAAAACATAGAATTGCGAGGGTGTAAACATATTTAAAAACTGGAACTAAAGACGAGATCATTTTCAAATGGGGCCTTCTTTTATAAGTTTTCAAATTTTGGCATTTTAAAAATGTTCGTAAAAAATTAACAACAAATTAAAGAAACACATGGAAGTAGTGTTTATAAGCCTAATTTTCAACCACTGCAAACCAATAACAAACACAACACATAGGTAGAAGTAGTCTATATAAGCTTAATTTTTAACGATAGAAAACCAATAACAAAATGACTATCAAACCTGACTTAAATTATTATTTTATTCTTTTATTTTTCTCATTTCTTTTGAGAGCTTCTTTCTTTTGTGGTTGTTGGATTTATCAATATTTGTGTAAATATTAGTGGTTTGTGTAAATATTAGTGGTTAATATTTAGTCTTTATTGTGATATTTAGTCTTTACGATAGAATATTGCTTTCCTTATTGGTAGTAGATCATTCTCAAGCAGCCGTAAGTTACATATTTGAATATATCAGAATATTTATTCACTCGTATTGACATCAACATGACATAGTACCACAGCTTAGGAAATAAAACATAACTCTCATCATAAAAAATACCAAACCCTAATTTTAAAACCCTAGCCGTCAATCAAAGCCCTAGCCATCATCCATTGCTCCTTCCGGTAAGTCTACCTCCGGCGAACTCTCCACGGCAACACAGCTGTTGCCATCGATCCGCCATCTTCACCGTCAATCCGCCGGTGTCACACTTACAGACCTGCCGTCACGTCGCGACGTTGATCGATCTCCAGCTCGTCGCAATCGTCCTCTCCGCCAATCTACGCAATCGTTCTCTCCGTCGCAATCATAATCCATCGGCATCATTCACAGATTTTTCGATCTGTTCATCCACCGCCATCGTTCGCTAGGTCGTCTTTCATCATCCGTTCGCAGTCGCACACTTCTGTCTGCCACCCGTCCGTCGATCTGTACCCATCGCGTACGCCGCTTCTTCTCCACAGATCTATTCTTCGTGGACTCGGCAACCGCCGCCTCCTCAACATCCAGAAGTCAAAAAACCTAAAAGATTCATATTCAAGTGTGTTTCTGTTTTTTTTTAAACACTAGACCGGTTCGGTTCATGAGGTTTGGTTCAGTGCTGTGAGTTGGTCCTGCTGGTTCGGTCTGCTTCTGGTTTGGTTTGACTCTTTTATTGTGGTCTCGAGGAGGTTTGGAACCCTCCTCACGAATTTCATGTGGGATATCCACCAAAGGATACCAAATGTCATAACAGTTTGTTCATTTAAACTGGTCCAAATTTCTGGAAACAATAATAGAAGAATGTTCGGTGACAATAATGGTGACTCAAGTATAGAGCAAATTTACCGACTCTTGAAATTGCTATCCACCAATTTAGCTTCGAATAATTCATGTGTATCCTTGACACAAACAGGTATTTATTCTAAGGTTTTCTCGTGTAGTAACTCATCTCCATGGATCATAGATTCTGGAGCTTCTGATCATATGACTAGTTCTTCTAATCTCTTTGAATTATACATTTCCTTCATATTCCAATGAAAAAGTTAGAATTGCATATGGTAGTTTTTCTTCTGTTGCAGGAAAAGGAACCATTAAATTGACTGAGACCATTTCGTTACAGTCTGTCCTCCATGCTGCACAATTAGCCTGTAATCTTTCATCTGTCAACCAACTTTCTAAAGATTCTAACTGTCGTGTTACTTTCTTTGAATTCCATTGTATTTTTCAGAATCATAACTCAGAGAGGATAATTGGCCGCGGTAGGATGCTTGATGGTCTCTACTACTTTGATGAAGGTACCTTTAGTAATAAAATAACTCAGAGTCTTAGTAGTATTAGTTCTATTTCTGATAGGGAACAAATTATGCTTTGGCATCGTAGATTAGGACATCCCAGTTTTTTCTATTTAAAATATCTGTTTCCAAAGTTATTTGAGGGAATTGATTGTTTCCCAGTTTTTTTATGGTTATAAATGTTTTGATCCTCGGACAAAAAACTTTTTGTGAGTATGGATGTGTCTTTTTTAGAAAATCAACCATATTTTACCCAAAATTCTCTTCAGGGGGAGAAAATGAATTTGGAAGATCATTTTTGGGATATTTCTGTTCTTCTGCCTAGTCCTATCTATTCAAATTTTACTAGTCTTTCTATGCCAAGTATAGAAACTATCCAATCAGAGGGAGAAATACTACAAAACGATTCTGTGAATCCTAGTTCTGAGTTAAAGTTTTATACTAGAAGGAAATTCAATCAAAGGAACCAAGATCAAATAGTTACTCCTTCACAAAGTCAATCTGAGACTCCGAGAAATGAAATTGAATTGTCTGATAATCCTCCCTCTTCAACTTTGTCTGGTAATTCCTCTTCTTCAAATTTTCAAAATAATTCACTTGTTGTCTCTGACCTTGATGTTCCCATAGCCATTAGAAAAGACGTTCGAAGTTGTACCAAATATCCTATTTCGAACTACATTTCATATGAAAAACTATCAAATAGTCATAAGGCCTTCACATCTAGGATAACTAATTTGTTTGTTCCAAAGAATATACATGAAGCTTTAGAACAAAGAAGCACGGACACGGACACGGACACGACAGGACACGGCGATACGTCAACTTCTAAAAAACTAGGACACAGACACGCTGGGGATACGTTATTTATTTATTATTTCTTTTAGGATATAGGTAAATTTAACATAAAAATGCTAAATATGCTTCGCTAAAAAACATAAATGTCAAGTAAATTTATTGGGTTGAAGATGTACCCACTAAAAAGCATAAAAATAGTAAATGTAATCCACTAAAATAATCCTAGAGAAGGATTTGAATTTGATTATTGGGTCGAAGTTGTCATCCTAATTTAGTAAAACATATTCTACTCCAGTTTAATTCATATGAAATTAGGGATAAAAGGGAGTAAGAATAGAGCTTATTTAATTTAACTCACACAAACAGAAGGGTGGGTCACTAGGTAGCATTTTTGGGTTTTTTTTTTTGTAGTTTAAGTTTTTGAGATTTCAGCCAAACTTCTTGGACTTCCAAAAATTGGGCTAAGGAAACAATATTTTTTTATCTGGCGTGTCCCTCCCGTGTCCAAAACGTGTCCCCACGTGTCTGAAATTAAAATAAAAAATTTAATATTCGGACACTTTAAATTGCGTGTCGGACACGTGTCCGGAGCGTATCCGGACGTGTCCGTGTCGGACACGTGTCCGACACAGACACTCCTCCTTTTTTGCCGTGTCCGTGTTTTATAGCTTTAGAAGATCCAAATTAGAAACTAGCTGTCATGGAGGAAATGAATGATCTAAAGCAAAACAGTACTTGGGAGATAGTAGAGTTGCCAAAAGATAAGAAATAAGTGGGATATAAATTGGTGTTTACCGTAAAATGTAATGCAGATGGTAGCATCGAGAGATACAAGGCTAGATTGGTAGCTAAAGGTTTCACTCAAACCTACGGGATAGCTTATCAGGAAACGTTTGCTCCTGTTGCAAAAATTAACTCTATTAGAGTTCTTTTGTCTCTTGCAATTAATTCAGATTGGCCTCTCTACCAGCTTGATGTGAAAAATGCTTTTCTTAATGGCAACCTTGAGGAAGAAGTTTTTATGAATTTGGCTCCAGGTTTTGAAAGGAACTCGGATGGAATAAAATCTGCATATTAAAGAAATCTCTCTATGGCCTCAAACAATCTCCTAGAGCTTGGTTTGAATGATTCGGAAAAGTCATATCGAGTTATGGATTTCTTCAGAGTCAAGCTAACCATACTATATTTTATAAACACTTTGAGAATAATAAAATCTCAATTCTGATTGTCTATGTAGATGATATTATTCTCACCGGTGATGATGAAGCAGGACTAACTGATCTTAAGAAAAATCTGGCAAGTGAGTTTCAAATCAAGGACTTGGGAACATTAAAATGTTTTCTAGAGATGGAATTCGCAAGATCGAAGAAAGGTATATTCGTTAATCAAAGAAAATATGTTCTTGACTTACTTGAAGAAACAGGATTGTTTGGTTGCAGGATTGCAGAAACTCCTATTGGACCTAACTTGAAATTACAAGCAGCAAACGCAGAAGAAATAAAAGATATGGAACAATATCAAAGACTTGTGGGAAGATTAATTTATCTATCACATACGCGACCAGATATTGCATTTGTTGTAAGTAAGGTAAGTCAATTCATGCATGTACCTGGACCAACTCATTTGAAGCTGTCTACAGAATCTTGAGATATTTGAAGGGAACTCCTGGAAAAGGTATTTTATTTGAAAAGAATAACACTTCCAAGTAGAAGTTTATACTGATGCAGATTGGGTGGGAAGTACTATCGATAGAAGATCTACTTCTGGTTACCGTTCCTTTGTTGGAGGAAATCTAGTTACATGGAGGAGCAAAAAACAAAATGTAGTGGCCAGGAGTAGTGCTGAAGCAGAGTTTAAAGCATTGGCTCATGGAATTTGTGAAGGTATATGGATTAGAAGAATGCTTGAAGAATTGAAGATTCCTCAGACGACACCTATACGGATTTATTGTGACAATAAGTTTGCCATATCTATAGCTCATAACCATGTGCTACATGACCGAACCAAGCATATCGAGGTTGACAAACATTTTATTAAAGAGAAGATTGATGTAGGTGCAATATGTATGCCTTATCTTCTGACAACAAAGCAAATTGTCGATGTTTTAACTAAGGGACTTCCAAAGAAACAGTTCGACAATTTAATCAGCAAGATGGCTATGGACGACATCTTCAAACCAACTTGAGGGGGAGTGTTGGATTTATCAATATTTGTGTAAATATTAGTTGTCAATTTAGTCGTTAATATTTAGTCTTTATTGTGATATTTAGTCTTTATGGTAGAATATTGCTTTCCTTGTTTGTGGTAGGTCATTCTCCTATATAAGAAGAACTAAGTTACATGTTTGAATATATCATAATATTTTTATCCACTCAAATGAAAAATGTTTCCTTTTACATGCTGTTATCTTTACCAAATAAAAGGTCATTAAACGACACTATTCAAGGCTTATTTCTGATATGTTGCTACCAGTTTTCTGAAATGAGGCCTCATTTTCTGTTTTGTGGCCTTACTGTACGTGATAATATACTTCATGTAATTAGTCATTTCCATGGCCCTCTGTGCTTGTCAGGCCGAGAGGGAATTTCAACCGTGGATCGCTAAAGATGACGATCAAGGTCAGAAGATGTGGAGAATCAACCAGCGGATCATTAAATTGATAGTTGAGCTAATGAGAAATCACAATACTCCAGAATCACTGGTCGTATTGGCAAGTGCGTCAGATCTACTGTTGCGTGCCACTGATGGGATGCTTGTAGATGGAGAAGCCTGTACTTTGCCACAGCTGGAGGTAACAACGCAGTTCAAATTTGGATCAAAAGAATTGTATTCCCTTTCCTTAGTCACACAAGGAAAAAATAAATTTTATCATAGATAATCTTGATAAATATTATTTATCTTCAAGCTTATTAATCATAAGTCAATATTCTCATTACTTCCTATGAAACCGCAGCTATTGGAAGCAACTGCTAGAGCAGTTCAGCCTGTACTGGACTGGGGAGAATCTGGACTGTCCATTGCTGATGGCCTTTCGAATCTCTTAAAGGTAATACACCTTATTGCTGAACACAAAGTAATCTCTAGTAGTGCAATTTGTTAATGTACATAACTACTTTTCAACAAAAGCAAAAATTGTTGCCCACCTGAGCAACTTCTACTTGGTCAGGTATAATAAAGATTCAAACGTTCAAATATTCAAATATTCAACCTCTTTATTTATTATTTTTATTTTTATTTTTTTGAACAAAAACCTCTTTACTTGAATTGTAATATTCTTTTTTTAACAAGATATAAATTTTTTATTAATTAATAAAAAGGGAATAATACAGTTCCCAAAGGGTCATTGAAAATACATGATTGCTTACAAAGAGGAAGTAAATGCGTGTACACATATCACCACAACAAAACGCGCAAGCTAAATTTTACGCTTATCTTCGAAGATTATTTGACTTTTAGACTTGACTGCATTAAACGCATAATATAAGTAAGCAGGAGTGGTCAAAATATGTCCATAGAGAAGCTGAATCACTTCTTGGATCCTTCATAAGAACCCATTGCAAGTTGATTTGTTGAAATAAATAATACCAGCAAGATAATGCTTACTAGCACTTAGAAGAGATGGCTTTGATTTTCATTGTAATATTCTTGAAAGAAATAAAAAAAAGCAAAAATAGTCTCCTGTTCCTAATGTCTATGTTTTCTGATGTCTGTGTTTGTGTTTGCAGTGTCGTTTACCAGCTACCGTTCGATGCCTTTCTCATCCAAGCGCCCATGTCCGAGCTTTAAGCACGTCAGTTCTTCGTGATATTCTGCACACCAGCTCAATAAAGTCTAGTTCGAAACTGGTAAACACAAATGGAATCTATCCCTCTTATCAGTATTTCAGTTCAGGTGTCACTGATTGGAAAGCAGATATCGAGAAGTGCTTGGGATGGGAAGCTCATGGTCGACTCGCAACTGGCCTGTCCACTCAGTTTCTTCATGCTGCTGCCAAGGAATTAGGCTGCTCTATTTCCCTATGACGTCAGCATAAGTCTAGGTTTGTAAGTTAATTCTTCAGCCAAGTCGCTTCAGAAGTAACAACTTTTGAAGCATACGAATTTTCGGAGACGATTTGTGTTGTGTTCCTAATCTGATTCCATAGATTACTGCCCAATAATTCCTTGTTTGGCTCTGTATGCATACCCTCTTACCAAGATGGTTGTGTATAGTCAAGACAGTTAGATATGTCGTAGGTTCTAGAGGGCTTATGATGATGTGTTCAATTATTTGTAGGTGTTTGATAGTTTTATTTTTCTCATGTACTTTTATAGCATCAACTCAAGTATATGTTGTCTGGAACTAACATAGACAAGCTTCTGTCTAATGTAAATTTATTTTACCTCCAATTCTGTACTGTGTAATGTAATAATTTATATTTGTATGTTCCTTTTCATATCTCAATGAAAAGTTTTTTTCTTGTTAAAAAAAAAAGAAAAAAATTTCTTTGCAGGTTGTCTTTGTTGCTATTAGAAGACTAGGATCTCTCTAGTTCCAAAGGGGACAGTTTTGTTATCTTGAAACTGTTCAAATAACATTTGAATGAAGTGAGGAATCTCCTCTCGCTAAAAGAAACGGACTTGCCGAAAAGGAAGTCCCTTGGATTCAAGAAGGAAATCCAATTCATCTAATTATTCTTTGTTTTAGGGTACGGAAACTAAAAGATTGGAAAAAATCGACAAGGCAGCAACTAAGGAGTGGGCCTTGCTCGCTTTGGTTCTGCTTCTATGGTGATGAAGAAGCAAGTGCTTGAGTTCAACTAGCCAGGACCGGTTAGGCTTGGTTGATTTTGTCAGAAAAGAAAGTAGGTTTCGGCCTTTAATTTAATAAGGCTTCAATTGATAACTATTTTATGTTTCGTTTTCTGTTTTTTAAATTTTAGCTTTTAAACACTACTTTCACCTATGTGTTTCTTTGCTTTATTATCCACTTTTAAAAAGTAGTTTTTAGAAGTGTATTTTTTTTAGTTTAACTAAGAATTTAAATGTATTTGTAAAAATTGTGAAAAATATACCGAAGAAGTTGAAAGTATGCATGATTTTTTTTTTTTTTTTGAGAAAAAGAAGTATTTATTCAAACCAAAGAGGGCCATTATGGCCAGTCCGATTACAACTATCACGATTGGTCTCGTTCAAGATCCAGTTAGGAAAATCACTGACCCAAAGATAATTAACCTCCGAAGAAAAAGTAGCAGAGGCGATTCTGTGAGCAGTTTGATTTCCTGTCCTCAAAACATGCAGAAATCAGACTTAGGAGAAGGCCTTCAACAAATTATCAATGTCTTCAACCCAGATTCCAGGCTCTAGAAGCGTCAGACTCTTCCTCAAGATCAGATCGAAAAAAAAAGATTCAAACGAGTCGTTAATCGCAGGCTTTCACGGATAGCCAGAAGCTCTGCAGATAAAGGTTCGTAATACACATCAAAGCACTTCTTCATAACAGCCAAGATCTCCCCTCCGATCGTTCTGGCCAATCACTCCAATCCCCGTTCGAGAAATTGAGGGTTTACAAGCAACATCGACGTAAAACTGAAAATAAAATGATATAAAATGGGTTTAAGTTGTCTATGGTCAAATACATCCACGAAGATATTATTTGTGGAAAGTTGATCCTAATTGGAGAGAAGAGAAGACAACAATGGGTCGGGAGGTCCCAACCACATTTTTCATTATTGGAAAACACGTCGCTAGCCTATGATAGGTTTCACTATTCTCTTTAACCCAATAAAGTAGCTAGAGGTTGTTAATGCTCACTTTTCTAGTATGGTGGTTTTAGTTCAAACTTTTAATGTTAGGTTGTGTTTAAGAAGTTCCTAAATTCTTTTACTTTATATCTAATAGGTTTCTAAATTTACACTTTATATTATTTTTAAAGTTGAGGAACCTATTGGACGTCATTAGAATTTTAGTCACTTATTAAACACTTTTTAAAGTTGAGGGACCTAGATAAAAAATTGAAAGTTTATGGATCTATTAGATTCTTTTTTTTATTAGACAACTTTCAAAATTTAGGACCAAACTTGTAATTTAATCTAAATTCAACCTAGTCTAGAAATTGTTCAATCCAAACTAATATCAAGCAAAGTGTTTTTTTCCTCCAAGGAGGCGATGATCAATGAAAATTGGTAGGAATTTTTAATATTTATAAATACTTATGTGTAAATATTAGTGGTTAATATTTGGTCTTTATCTTTATTTTTTCTTTAGTTACTTCTCCTATACAAGGTAGACCTAGTTGCACATATTTTGAATATAGAATAATGTTTTTATTCTCTCAAATATGAGATAGTATAATTAGAGTTAGAAAATCTTAGCTCCTAAAAATTTAGAGTTTCTTTAAAACCCTACCTGTCATGAACTCAACTACCTCCGCCACTAGAACCTTAGACATCGTCCTCAAACGACGCATTCTACTTCTGGAAGGTGCTTTCGTGTGCATGTCGTTACTGTTGGGTGTGTTGCCCTAAACTCGTAGTTTGTATTTTTGTAAAAACAAATGTCTATTTAATAAAGTTTTATTCAATAAATTTGTTGTTGAATCATAGCTTTGCATTATCCAAAATCCAATAAACTAAACATCCAAGGTTATTTGTGATGTAATCGGGACAGTATATATACTGGGTATATAGTTGATATACGGGGTATATATTTGATGTACCTCTGATATATGAATGGATAATGTCCCGTGCATAACCTAAAGGGTCTATAGTATATGGATAAGGCTGGGTACCTCATCCTGGCAACACTATGGATACGGCCCGCTCTGTAAAGGTTACAGACGACTCGATCCAGGTCGTTCATGTGGAGACATGCGAGTGGGGGTATCCTATACAATGAGTTTGTATAAGACCGGACCGCGAAATAGGCAATCTTTAGTTGTAACACCGTTAACTAATAG